GCATTCATTTTCTCTCATTTCTCAATCAAATTCTCACATTCTTGTTGCATAAATTTAGATTTTCTTCCCTTTGCATACTGGAGTTCGTAAACCAAGTTCTGGTTCGTCATTTCTTGTCTGTTGTAGTGCTACTCACATAAGAAGATAGTCGTTGTATCTTGGAAATTGATTGTCATATACCCTAGGCACCGTTGCGGGGCAAATTCGACTTAAGGACAAAGTGTTCAACACTTGTCTCGACTTTAATATTATTGCTGCTATACAGCACATTTTTTGAGGATTTATTTGGAGTCCATTTCCACCATTACCCTGCCGAAATTTCTACAAAATTTTAAAAGCAATTTGAAGAATTTCTCGGCGTTGTTTGTCACTCCATGCACGAAATTTTCCAACACCACCATCGTAGCGAAAATTTTTGGATGGAAAATATCATCACAGACAAGATATGCCAATTACGGAAATATTGATATAAGAATGCGATGAGCTTCTCCACCTCATCTGGCTCAATAGCCTTGATGGCAGAAAAATAACGAAAGCAAGATTTAAAGCAAGTGCTCGCAACCTTATCCTTCTATCTAACCAGATTGGGTTCTTCTATCTAACCAGATTGATTTGCATACTAATTCTTCTTGATGGGTTTCTTCCCATTAACTGCAAATGTTCTAAATTTAAAAATAATCATTTTACGATTAGGAAAGGTGATACGTAACAGATGGAAACAAGGTAATTGCCGTCTTTATATATATATTGATGGCCTGAATCTTTGGTAAATTTGAACCAGGAAGATTGTTTGTTGACAAAGACAACGTTTGACTCGGTTTTGCTAATACAACAGTCGCGATCGTCGCAGATAAATCGGACATCCTTGTAGCCGCACTCCTCGTACGCCATGAAATAAAAGTTGATGAAATGAGTTGTTAAAAAGTTGTGAAATTCATGAAATATGTGGTTAAAATTGATTGTTGACTTTGATATAAATTAAAATTTAAATTTAATCCCTACATAGGACTATAAATTATTTATATTATAAATATATACAAATAAATAATAAATTAATGTTCAATAAATTAATAATCTCG